ATCCTTGCTTCACACTTGTAGTAAAACTTAAAAGTTCACAATTTTTCTGAAATGAAGGCATATCTTCAACAACCAGATACATCTCTTCACAACAAATACTCTTCCGACGTAAAGAAACTCTCCAGCCCTGCCAGGTAGCTCAGTTGGTTAGGGCATCGTCCTGACATGCCAAGGTTGAGGGTAGATCCCCAGCGAGGGCACAGACAAGAAGCAACCAGTGAATGCATAAATCAGTAGAACAACAAATTGATGTTTCTCTCTCTCTCTCTCTCTCCACCCCACCCCCCTCCCCCATTTCCTCTCTCGAGAAATCAGTCAATAAAAAATATTTTAAAAAAAGAAATGAGCTACCGAATGGATTTCCATCTCACTGCACCTCTCACAAGCACACTCTTCCATTTTCACTGCAACACTTGCATCTCTGTCCTTGAACTTTCCTAGGAAGTTAGCAATAGCGTATTCCAAGTGTTTTCATCGGGTTCCCATCAGTAACATTTAGTTTAATGTACGACTATCAGAGGGAAATTGATTCACTTTTCTTCTGGGAAATTAACAGATGTATTTTCCCAGTTCAAATTCCTTGCCTAACATTTCTGGTAAAAATTCAAAAGTTCACAATTTTACTAAAATAAAGCCACATCTGAGGCAGCCAGGCATATCTCTTCATGTCAACATATAAGATCCCCTTTTTTCCTCTTCTACAAAAGGGAAGGGGTTTTCCTTTTCACCCTTTTATGAAATCTTAACCTGAATTTTTGTACTTTTTTAAAATTACAAATTCTTTAAAGTAGGGTAAGAGTTGGAAAATATGCTCATGAATTCAACGAATTTAAGCAGCTCAACAGTGCCCCCTGGTGGCCATAGGCACAAATACAGAATACTTGCGCTACAAAACAAGGTAGAAACTGTCTTACCAAGCTGAAACTCTCTTCCCCCAACTCAAAAAGTATTAAATGCTCATTTGAATCAGCAATGCAAACCATCCAAACATGACAACGACCAAAGAGTAAGAGAAGAGACTGCATAGCTATTCATTTTAATAAGTCACATGGGACGGAATGCCCTAAAACAAACATTACTTCTCTTTCCAGCCCCTAAAAGGTGGTACATTGTTTTTGGGTCGGGGCTCTAAAAGTTTTTTGAACTAACCATCCATCTCCTCAAGACAAACTCTATCCGCTGGCCATTTCTGGGTTGGCTCTCGTATTCATTAAGTACAAAAATATTTTGTTGTTGTGCTATGTGCTAGTACTGCCAGTATATGTTGGATTCAAAGCAGAACACACAGGCAACAGTCTCTGTTTTAAAGAGCTCCTATTTTGGTAGGTGAGAAAGAAGATAACCAAGTAAATTTTAAAAACACAATTTCTGAAAACATTCTATGAAGAAATTCAAGCCGGGTAAATGGACAGAGAGTGATGGGGTGGAAATGGAGAGGTTATTTATGAAAGAACGGGCAGGGCGCCTCTCTAAGGTTACAGCAGTTTAGCACAGATCTGAATGATTGCAATATAAAGGAATCACGTATAGAAAGTATCCATGAAGAGCAATTCTTGGATTCTATACTATTCTAACCGAAACTCATTGGACAGTTGAGCTTTCCAATGACATGTTCTCATATATGTTTTTAAAAGGTCGCTCTGACTAAGGTGAAGTTTAAGACTAGTTGCAGGGGGAAGTGATAGGCAACTATGAAAGCAGAGAGATCAGTTAGAAAACTACTGCAGAGTCTAAACAAGAGGTTGTTGGCTTGGATTACATTGCTAGTGGTGAAAGCAAAAGCAAAGAGAAATGGTTAGATTCAGAATACATTTCAGAAACAAGCCAATGGGGCTTGTTGATGAATTAGAAATTGGTGGGAGGGACAAGATCCAACATGACTCCTTTGACCCGAGCAGTTGGTGAGTAAGAATGCCAATAACTAAGACAGAGAAGCCTGGATAGAAAATTGATCTGGTGATGAGGAAAGAAATGAGAACTCAAAAGTTCTGTTGGATTTGCCTAGTAGATGCTCTATAGAATATGTTTAGGAGAGGAGTGGAAATATGAATCTGGAACTCAGAGAAAAGATAGGGACTAAGATACATATTTGAGAATACTCAGCATATAGTTAATATTTATAGCCATGAGACTGGTATAGATCACCTAGGCAGAAAGGGTAGATAATAAAGAAAAAGGAAGAGAGGAGGCGGGGGTGGGGGGTTTATAGAGCAGTAAGCTGCGAGTAAGGGGAAGTACGCCAATAAAAGTAGATGGAGCTATTTTCTTCCTTCTGCTGACTTTGGGCTACATTGCTCTTTCCTTAATTCTTTAAAATGTAATGTTAGGTTGTTCAGTTGGGAGTTTTCTTGCTTCCTGAGAGAGGCCTCTGCTGATACAAACTTCCCTCTTATTTACTGCTTTTGCTGCATCCCAAAAGTTTTGTTCTGTCATGTTGTCATTCTCATTTGTCTCTATGTATCTTTTCAATTCTCCTTTTATTTTTTCTTTGACCCAGTCACTCTTTAGTATCATGTTGTTTAATCTCCAGATATTTGTGTTCTTTTCTGCTTTCTTTTTACTGTTGATTCCCAATTTCAAAGCACTGTGGTTGTAGAATATACTGGTTGTAATTTCAGTCTTCTTGAATTTGGTGAGGCTAGTTTTGTGTCCCAGCATATATGATCTATCCCTGAGACTGTTCCATGTGCACTGAAGAAGAATGTATAATCTGGTGTTCTGGGATAAATGGGCTTGTAAATGCCAACTATGTCCATTTGGTATAATGTGTCATTTAAGGCCAGTATTTCCTTACTGATTTTCTGTTTAGATGGTCTATCCATAACTGTCAATGGGATTTAGGTTGTCTACTCTGTGTTTTTGTCCGTTTCTCCCTTTAGTTCTGTTAGTAGTTGCTTTATATATTTTGGTGCTCCCTAATTGGGTGCATAAATATTGACAAGTGTTATGTCTTCTTGATGACTTGTCACCTTTATCATTATCAAATGTCCATCTTTGTCTCTTGTCACTTTTTAATCTTGAAATCTATTTTTTCAGATATAAGTGCAGCTGCACTCACTTTTCTCTGGATGCCATTTGCTTGGAGAATCATTTTCTACCCTTTCACTTTAAGTCTATATTTGTCTTTGCAGCTAAGATGTGTCTCTGGAAAGCAGCATAGGGTTGGGGTTTGGGTTTTGATCCAAACTGCTATGTTGTACCCAACAGAGGATTCGATAAAGAATATGTAGTACATATACACTGTGGAATACTACTAAGTCATAAGAAAAGATGAAACACTGCCATTTACAATAACATGGATAGATCTTGAAGGTATCATGCTTAGTTAAATAAGTCAGATGGAAAAAGTCAAGAACCATGATTCATTCACTCATATGTGGGATATAAAACTGAAAGCAACAAATGAACAAACAAGACAAACAAAAACTCTTAGACACAGACAACAGTATGATGGTTACCAGAGGGAGAAGGGAGTGGGAGGGAGGTAGTAAAGGGTAAAGGCGGTCAAATATATGGTGACAGAAGGAGTTTTGACTTTGAGTAGTAAATACGCAATACAATATACAGATGATGTATTGTAGAATGGTACACTTGAAACATATATACCTCTATTAACCAATGTCACCCCAATAAATGTAGTAAAATTTTTTAAAGTAGATGAAGCTAGCAAAAAATACAGAGAAGGAACAGACAGAAAGATAGGAGGAACCAAAAGCCAAGATAAAAGGTATTCTAAGAAGCAGGGAAATGTCAAATGCTGTGGAAAAAGAAAAGAAAAAGATAAGAATGAAATTGGCCAGTGGATTCCACAAGTTGGAGACCCTTTCAGTAAAGCAGGGAAAGCAAACGCTTCCAAACTGGAACCATTTAAAGGGAGAACAGGAGGTAAGGATGTGGAGCCTACACAAAAGTCACTTCTTTCTGTAAAGTGGGGCTGAGAGAAGACAAAATAATGAGAGAGTATGTGATCAAAGGAAGTGTGTTTATTTTTCTTTGCTTTCATTAAAAAGGGAGATAGTACAACATTCTTGTGCAGTGTTGAGACTAATTCTATATTGGAATGAAGTGATGATTAGGCAAGAAGGGATAGGATCCAATGCACTAGTCTGGGGAGGCGGGCGTCACCCTAGGAATAGGGACAAGAGAGAAGACAAAATATATGGTTCTGCATGCTGGTATTGATGAGAGATTAGGAGGTGGCAAGTCCTCACCTGATTACTTCTAATTTCTTGGTGAAAGAGAAAACAAGGAGCTAACATTTCGAGTGTTAGCTCAGAGTAAGCAGGAGGAAAGGTAGCACAGATTTGAGAGAGACAAGAAAATGAGTGGAAAGTGAATCTGCTAGGGACTAGAGTGAGGCTGACAATCATTTTTCCCTGAAAGAAAACTATTCTTTTTTTTTAATCCTCATCTGAGGATATGTTTATTGATTTTAGACAGAGAGGAAGGGAGATGGAGGGAGAAAGAACAAGACATCGATATGAGAAAAAGACATTGATCAGTTGCCTCCCAAATGCACTCTGACCAGGGTTCTTGGGGGTCAAACCCACAACCTAGGTATGTGCCCTGACTGGGGATCAAACCTGCAACCTTTTGGTGTACATGATGATGCTCCAACCAACTGAGCCACCTAGCCAGGGCAGAGAAAAGTATTTTTAAGGCACTTGGACCAGAATCACAATTAAATATGTTGCTGAGAAACAGTAATAGGAAAAATTCTTTTTTAAGTATGAATTATTTTAAATATTTCAAATATCCAGAAGGAATTTAACCAATACTCATGTACACACCACCCAAGATCTAACCAATGGCAACATTTTGTTTCAGGTATCTTTGTAAGAAATAAAAGTCGCCGTGGTAGTCCCCTCAGCATCTCTCTCCAATTCTATGTCCTTCTTATTCTCTCTCTTAAAGTTCATTATATAATGATAAAAAGAAGTGTTCGTTTCTCCAGCTCCATGGTGACTTTGTTCACCCAAGTGCCTTTATTTGAGACTTACCTGTTATCTGGGTTGTCAGAGAGATGGCCACGGGACGTGCAGAAGACCACGCCTGAAGGCTGACACTGTAGTTGGTACCCGGACGCAGGTCCAAACACGTAACAGGAGCCTGGCTGCTGGTAGTGATATTAAAGATGATTTCATGAGCAAATTCCTTCTGATACCATCTCTGACCCTGAATGTGGAGCTAAAACAGAAAAGTTCACAAGGCAAATCATTAGCTTGGCAGGCTCTGAATGCCTAGATCCTTACCTTTCTCATGAATTCTCTTGCTGTCGAATCTGAAGTTCCTTCGAAAAATGAAATACAGCCCTGACTGGTGTGGCTCAGTGGACTGAACACTGGCCTGTGAACCAGAAGGTTCAATTCCTCATCAGGGCACATGCCTGGGTTACAGGTCAGGTCCCCAGCTGGGGGCCTGCGAGAGGCAACCAACTGATGTTTCTCTCTCTCTTTGTCCCTCCCTTCCCCTCTCTCTAAAGAAAAACAAATAAAATCAGAAGAAGAAGAAGAAGAAGAAGAAGAAGAAGAAGAAGAAGAAGAAGAAGAAGAAGAAGAAGAAGGAGGAGGAGGGGAGGAGGAGGAGGAGGAGGGGAGGAGGAGGGGAGGGGGAGGGGAGGGGAGGGGAGGGGGAGGAGGAGGGAGGAGGAGGAGGAGGAGGAGGAGGAGGAGGAGGAGGAGAAGGAGAAGGAGGAGGAGGAGGAGGAGGAGGAGAAGGAGAAGGAGGAGAAGGAGGAGGAGGAGAAGGAGAAGAAGAAGAAGAAGAAGAAGAAGAAGAAGAAACATCGGCTTTGGGGATCAGACTAACATGTATTCTCACTCCTGACTAACACATTATTATCTGGGAGACCTTAAGCAAGTTATTTAAAAAAAAAAAAGTGAAATACAACAGTAAGTAAAGATTAGACTTATAATATGGTATATATTGTATTTACAATATTATCAGTATGATAAATATATTTTTATATTAAAATACACAAAAGATCCAGGGCCCAACTCTGGCAAAGTTCTCTTCCCTGTTCTCGCATGTACAATATGCAGGTCCAATGTGAAAATCTATCGGCAAAATTTTAGGAGCAAGGCCAAGGGACAGTTTCCTAGAGAAAATATTAAGAATCTGAAGTAAGGCTTCTCCAAGGCAGGACGTGGGTTAGAATAGTCTTAGCTGGTCTGGTGAAGCCCGGAAAGGGTTTCGCTCCTCTGCGCGCCCCCTTCTGACAGTCCCTACACTGTCCTGTAACATCCCAGTACCTGGGCCAATAGACACACACATCTGTCTACTTAATTCCTTCTAATAACAGCTCATCCCGTGGTATTTCCCTTTCTTACTGAAAACCACGTCTACCTCCAAAAGTTCCCCTGGATGTCCCAGACAACACACCGAGACCCTTGTTGGGGGCATTGGCATGAAGAGACACACGCCTAAGTCTTTGGATTTCTCTGCAGATCCAGCCTGGACATCAATTCTGCACCAGGCTATGTGCCCAAAAACAACCTCCCCTGGCTTTCTCACAAATCCCCAAGGTCTCTGTTGTCAAAACTGCAGCAGAAGTGCCCATTTTATTGCTCCTGGTTGTAATTGTTGCTACAATTCTTCTATTGATAATGGCAGCTATATAAGTAGATTTTTAGGTATGCTGATATTTTTTAAACCTCCCACACAACCAACACCCATAAATAGAGTGATTGTCAGTAACTTACTAAATACATTTCCTGTATACCAGCTATCTTCATATTTCTCCATCTCAAGCAGGTTTCATTAAATATTGAAATGTTACTGATGGTCTGTTTAACTGCAGGGAGAAAAGAATGAGAAATCAATTGACATCCTTTAGAAATCTACTACCTTTTCATTAAAATTTTTCCAGTGATAAGCATTTACATAGGATGATGTCAGCAATATTTTAATTTACAAATTAGTGGTAGTAGTGCACTTCTATACTAATGTAAACTCAGTCCTAATGAAATATTTAGGATTACAAGATGCCCAACTGGAGGACGCCTCTTAAAAATTATTTAAGTGTATTCACTGCAAGCTCCTTTGGTTTACTAAATTACAACAGCAACTCATTATACTAGCCTTGGACAACGTCACTTAGATAAACAAACATCGGTTTGAAACTCTGAGCTGATGGAAACATTTCAGCATCAAATTGAGAACCACTCCATGAGGGACTGAATGTTCCTATCTCACGCAGTCAGGCTTTTCATGATGGAAGAGGGGGAGGGGTACCTCTTAGTTTGTGCTTCCTCATCTTTTATGATCAGAGCACTTGTTGGCCTCTGCTCCGTTTCATGGTAATCAATCCAGGAGTTATTTCAGATCTGGTACAGTGTTATGTAGAGGCATATATATAATGCCCCTCCTCCCACACACTTTTTTTAAATAAAAACTATTTTCAAAACCCTGATATCAGAGGTTTACTGCCTTCCACAATTATCCTTGTCCCTAAACTGTAAATAATAGAACAGACTTGCTAAGGAGTTTCATAGGAACACTGTGATGATTACTAAGTGATAAAGCACTTGTAAAGCATCTAAGAAATAAAGAAAGAAAAAAAGAAAGGTTCATGGGAGCCAAGCCAGGCGTGACAGGTTCCTACGAGTAAAGCCAAGTTGGTCGACATGAGAGTCCTTTACGGATTGGGTGGCTCTACCCAAAGAAAACCTGTTCCACAGGTTACATACTATACTCTAAATGTTGTGAGATAAAGTAAGAAAGTATAGATGATTCAGGATAACCTAACCTTACTCCTGGGTATAGAAGATGGTTTTAGAGATATGCAGTTGTGGTGTAAGGAACCTCACACTGATGAAACTTAAGGAAAATGAAGTAACTCCAATACTATTTAAATAGCTCCAGACCTTTTCGTATAAAAAGACAGAAAGTTCCCCAGTTCATTCAATATGACTAGATAATCACATGCCCAGAGCATACAAGGATGGCACAACTAATCACTAAGCACACCATGTCAAACTCACTTATTAAAATAAATACAAAAAAATCCAAAATAAAATATGAGCAAGTAGAAGGCAGCAGTACATTCAAAGAACAATACATTATGATCCAGGGAGATTTATTCCAGGAATACAGAGATGATCACTATTGGGAAAGCTATGAATAGATAAAAAGAGAAAAACCATATGGTTATTTTTATAATTACAATGATTAATATATTTAATACACATTCTTGACTAAAAATCTTAGTTAACTAGGATTTAATTTCATAGAAATGCCTTAATTTACAAGAGTGTTTATTAGAAGCTACTATGCTTATAAAAACATATTCAGTAAAACAATGAAAAAATTCCTAGTAAAGTGTAGAACAATACAAGGATGCATGGCCTCATAACTATTACTTAGCATTAGTCAGAGGATTTTAGACAATCAGAAAGAGGCATGGAAAAAAAATGAGCTATAAATACCAGTAAGAAAGAGAACAAATGTTGCAACTGCCAGTAACTCTAAGAGAGTCAACTGAAAAACAAATATGAAATTGCTTGAAAATAGAAAAACAAATACAAATAAAAGGAGTTTGGCAAGGTGCACCCAAACACAAGAACATAGAAAAACCAACAGTTTTCTATATAGCTGCAAGGGCAAGTATGGTAGGCTAAGTAACGGACCCTACCCTGAGTTGTCCACATCTGAGCACACCGGCCCCTGGATTCTGTGACCATGCTCCATCACATGACAAAAAGGACTTCGTAAATGTAATTGAGACAGGAGATCATCTGGATAAGCCAGAGGAGCCCCTTGTAGTGACAAGCATCCTTTTAAGAGGAAGACAATCAGGGTTAGAGATTAAGGACAAAAGCAGAGGTTAAACTGCTCAGATTGAAAGATGGAGAATGGGACCACCAGCCAAGGAATGCAGACAAGCTCTAGAAACTGCAAAGAGCAAAGGAATGGATTCTCCCCTCGAGCTCCCAGAATGAACATTAGCCTGCTGACACTGATTTTAACCCAGTGAAACCGATTCAGACTCCTGACCTCCAGAATTATAAGATAATAGGTTTTTAAGCCGATAAATTTGCAGTAAGTTGTCATACCAGCAATCGAAAAGTAAAACACCAAATAAAAGAAAATAGAAAAAAAAATAAATGATCCTTACTCACAAGAGAAAACACCATGAACAAATTTCTAATACCTAGAAATAAATCTAACTAGAAATGTCCAGGACTTACATGAAGATTTAAAGACAATTTTTCCCCCTGAAGGACAAAAAAGAAAACAATAGAGAGAAATGTCACATTCATGAAATTAGGAAGACTCATAAATGAAAAGGCATCAATTCTCTACCAATTAGTCTACAAATGGAATGTATTATACTTCCAATGGTGATTCCAATGGACCTTCTTGAAATGTGAGAAGTTCACACATTTATTCTTTGGATACATAGGAAGAGGAAGTAGAACAACATAAAAGCAATGTGGTTATCAGAACTGGAAGACAAAGAATACTACAAACTTTAAATTTTTTTTAATTAAAGAAAAAGCCAAGTTCCAGCAAAGCTCTCTTTAAATATCCCATATCTCATTCTACAGAGTGAGGGGGATTCTAGAAGAGACATGTGAAAGAGAAGAGAGGAACAAAGAACCCCAGAGTGAGCTAGAAATTTTATTCCCACGACCAAAAATTCTACCTTAACTGTGAAAGTACTGAAAAAGAGATCTGGTATAGCAGAAGGACTGATGACAAGGAAGGAAGGAAAAGCCTATGGGACTCCAGGCAGGGGAATGAGAAAGGTAGTGCTTCTGGGAAAGAAGAGGACTAAAAGGACCACGTAGGAGACTGAGTGGTTACAGGAGAAAGAAGCCAGGGGGACATTCAGAGCCTGAAAGGCAAAAGAAAACCCCAAAACAGAAGAATACACAATTCATCCCCACCCTCACCAAAGATAAAAATGTTCTTTAAAGAAACTGCACTTCATTCAATGACAGAAGAGGGCGCTCTTAACCTAGAAATCTTATTAATCCTCCTAAATTACCCATTCTATGGAATTAACAGACATTAAAAAGAAAAAATATATATAATCAAAGCATTTCAGCTTGTGAAAAACTCCAGGTTGTTAAAAAAAATCACATTCTAGGAAAAAGGTATAACTCAATAAACTAAAATAAATATCCCCAAATAAGCATCAGGAATATGAAGCAAACACCTTGAGTGAGAAATTCAAAAACTAAACAGAAATGGACAAAAAGCAGGGAAGGAAAGAAACAAAAGTTACTGAATTCAGGAAAGAAATGAAAGGAAACAACAAATAAATATCAGAAATAAAGTAAAAATGTCATGGTGCTCAAGGACGGACAGATTAGAATAAAATTTAAATAAGGGGCATTGAATAAAAACACAGGAAAACAACTAAAAAGAATTAAAAGAGTAAAAAGAAGTAAAAAAAAGTATTTTAAAGTGTTTGAAATGGGATATAGACAAAGATCCAACATGTGTATAATTAAACTCTCTAAAGAAGAAAAACATTGAGCTAACATTTAAAATTATAATCCAAGAAAACTTTATAAAAATTAGAAATATAAATACTGAAAGGGCCCATAAGATACCTGAGAAAGCTCATCCAGAACAATCAATTCAAGTAAAACTATTAGACTTTAAAGATAGAGAAAAATCCTCTGTGTCTCTACTCAAGTAAACAAACAAGATCCAAAGAGGGTGGGGGAGGCTGCATCAGACGTCTCAAAAGCCAAATAAAAAGCAAGGTAATAACAGAACTGAGTTTTAAGGAAACTCAAATCAAGAAAGTGTGAACCAAGATTTTTATATCCAGCCAAGAAATCTTTCAATGTGTCCAGGCCACAGAGGACTGTGAAACATGCAAGAACTCAGGGAACACTGGACTCTTGAGGAGTCTACTTGAAGATGAGTTTCATCCAAGAGACAACTAGGGGAACTTCAGCAAAAAGACTGAGAGTGATTATCCGATATATTCTATTGTAGATTTAGACAGAAAGGTAGAACAAGGTAGAAGAAAAAAATACAAATGGCCTGTGTTCTGATAAAGTAAAAATAAGGCAACTAAAAACTGGGAGGAGAAGGGATAGGAAAATAGACCAATTTGACTATTATGCAGTCAATAAATGGAAGGTATACCATTAAAACCTGACAAACCAGACATGGAAAAGTTATATAAGAAAACAGGAGACAAAGCACTTTAAAAAGGTACAAAGGTAACATTAGAAAATATATATACAAACCTTCTTATGAACAAATAAATAAATAATCACCAAACAAAACACAGCACAGGGAAGTACACAAAATACAACATAATACATATAGCATAATAAAATAATAGGACAAAGCTGAGTCCAAACATATCAGTATTATCAATAGCTGTAAATGGATTTAACTTCTTAAAAATATTTTATTAAAAAAATTTTTAAAGATTTTCAAATGGTCTCACAATGCAAGATCCAACTATACACTGTGTGCCTGAGGGACACCTAAAATACAGTGATTCCGAAAGGCTAAATATAAAGTGATGAGCAACAGTAAAACCAGGAAATGGAGACCCAAAGAAACTGGGGATTGTAATTCTGGTATAGATAGAACTCAATGCAAAGGGCATTAAGTAGGACAAAGAAGGACACTTTTTAATGCAAAAGCCACCATTCACAATAAAGATAAAATGCAACCACCATTATAAAGCAAAAAAATACAAAAAGAAAAAGAAAGACTATAATAAATATGAAAGCAGAAATTAACGACACAGAGCAGGAGTCAGCAAATTTTTTCTACAGAGGTCAGTTAGTAAATATTTTAGGCTTTCCGGTTCAACCAATTCTGTCACAACTCAGCTCTGCCTTTGTAGCACAAAAGCAGCCACAGACCATATGTAAATGAATGACTTGGCTGTGCGTCAATAAAACTTTATGATCAAACAGGCTACAGGACAGATTTGGCTTGCAGGCCATAGTTTGCTAATTCCTGATAAAGAAAAGAAAAAAGAATACTAGGTCTAACTAATTAAACAACCTCTTGGCTTTTATAAAATACAGAAAAATAGATAAACTTCTATCTAACATAATCCAGGAAAAAGGAAGAAAATACAAATAAAGGGAGAAATAATTATTGAAACAAAAGGAAATTCAAAAAGCTAAATGAAACTACTATGCAGACCATATGCCCATAATCTCAGAAACATAGATGAAATGGGTAATTCCTAATATAGTTTACCCAAACTGACCCCATTAGACATAGAAAACTTAAACAGGCCAATTTCCATAGAAAAAAATGAGAAAGTTATCAAGGAAATTCCTCATGTCCAGACTCTTTCAAAGGGGAATTCTACAAAACCATTTGAGACCAGACAGTCCAAATGCTGCATGAATTGTGATAACAAAAGAAATCTCCCAAATAATGAAGGAAACCTTCCAAATTCTTTTTATGAAGCAGGAAAAATACTAATGCTGAAACATGATAAAGGTAGTACAGAGAAACAGAGAAAACTATAAATGAATATCACTTGTGGATATTGGGGCATAAATACTCTGAAGAAAATATTAGGGAACAGAATCCAAGTCATACCATAATGCGGCATGACCGAGTAGGATGTATTTCAGGAAGAGGGGGAGAAAGGCAGGGAGGGCAGAAGAGGGAAAGAATGAGAGAGAGAGAAATTTGAAATGATATCAAATTAAAAAGTTGCAAGAAAATAAAAAAGAACATCTTGTAGTTATCTTTTCTTAACGTTGTATTAATAAACAGTTAAGACTAAGAAGTAAGTGATCTTTTCTCTGACTTCAGCCTGGGAAGCAGCCGTCTCGGAGCCTCTCTGTCTGTGTACCTGAGACCTCGCCTGGGGATTCTAGAGCAGGGATTCTTCTTGGGTTGAAGTAGATAAAATCCAGTGGAATTACCACAAACTCGGACGCCAAGAAGAAGTCATAAAAGGTGTGTGCCTAGAACCCTCCGTTTCTGGAAAGGAGATTTGCCCCGTCTCTGAAAAAGGATGAAATTATTTTATAAAACAAGTTTTGGTCTAGCAGATAGGAAAAGATTAGGAGAGAATGAAATAAAGGAAATAACACCAAGGAGAAGAAAATTTGAAATCATATTGGCCCAGCTTCAAAGCCATGACAAGGAAAAGGAGATCTATCCAAATACAATTGCTCTACAGAGACTAAAAAAGATAGGAATGTTTACTGGGTCTGGGGAAGTGGCTCAAAATCATTGAGGAGAAGAATAAAAGGACTATTTTAAAGAACAGACTAAAATGACTCTCCTCCCAAAAGGTGCCTAGATTCGGGTATTATTCTATCAAGAAGGGCCCCCTTCAAGTTTTAAATAGGGAACCCCAAGTAAGCAATAGTGGGGAACCCCTCAAAGTGGAATTGTGATACTACGTAGTTATAGAAAATGTGGACATATTTCACAAAAGAAAGATTTGAAAAAATCAGTGTAGACTTCTTCAAGCATCATTAAATTAGCATCAAGGAGATGCTATTCTTGTAGAGGGAAGGGCAGGCGGGCGCTGGCCAGAAGGAAGGATGCTGGGAAATGTAGGGAGTTAGAGTTTGAAGAGAAGAGCAGAAAAGCAGAGCTGCATTAAAATAGGAGGGTCCCTCAGAAAACTAAAAGCAGAACTGCCTTTTGACCTGGCAATTCCACTGCTAGGATCATACCCTAAGAATTCTGAAAACACCAATTCAAAAGAACCTATGCACCCCAATGTTCATAGCAGCACAATTTACAACAGCAAAGTGTTGGAAGCAACCTAAGTGCCCATCAGTAAATGAGTGGATCAAAAAACTATGGTACATTTACACAAGGGAATACTATGCAGCAGAAAGAAAGGAGCTCTGACTCTTCATGACAGCAGGGATGGAACTGGAGAGTGTTATGCTAAGTGAAATAAGCCAGTAGGTAAGAGACATGCACCGTATGATCTCACCTATAAGTGGAACCTAATCAACAAAACAAACAAGCAAGCAAAACATAACCAGAGACATTAAAATGAAGAATAAACTGACAGTAACCAGGGGAGAGGCAGGGGGGGAATAACAAGGTAAAAAGGGGAAGGGTGGTCAAGAACATGTATAAAGGACACATGGACAAAGCCAAAGCAGGGCAGGATTGAGGGTGGGAGGTGGGGATGGGTGAGGTGGGGAGTTGTGGGGGGGAAATGGAGTCAACTGTACTTGAACAACAATAAAATATTAAAATAAAATAAAATAGGCGGATCCAGGGAGGGATGACAAGTGATCCAGCCCAGGCCTGGGTTATAGGTTGGATGGAATAGAAACAAATACCACCTAATGAAAGTAAAATGGGCGGGATTTATTTGAACACTGGATGATTGTGGCAGATCTAGAACTTTCTGGTATCATCCTCTCTCAGTGGAGAGCTCATTGGCAGAATCCAAAGCAATACATTAGGAGGAAAAAAAAATCTAAGTGTGAAAACAAAAAGCAAATATAGGGAAGGAAAGTATTACAATTTAGCAAAAGGTATTAGCCAGGGAGTAAAAAAGGAACAGGAACAACTGGGATGGCAGTTTATAAGCTGAAAGCTCAGCTGGGCCCACGGAACAGCAGGAATACGCAGAGGGAAGAGGATCACTTTCCTTCTGTTTGCCTCCTGATGCACAGAAGGAAACAGTGGCAGGAAGGAATGCTCCAGTTCTCGTCAAAGGAGCACAGGCGCTTCAAGTCTTAGAAATGCAGTTCTAAGGAAAGGTGTGGCTTGGGCACTTCCTGGTTTATTAGACCAGTGAAAGCAGAAGTTCCAGAAACTTAACAGTAGCTCAAGGGTCAGCTGAGGGTAATTGTCCAGAGGAGACAAGAGTCAAACCTCCTAACCAGGAAGCAGGACTTAGAGGCAAGGCATTCAATAAAATAATTCCTGGAATCTTTCTGAGAATAGAAACACTCATAGGAAAGAGCAGAAAATTGGGACTGTGGCAGGGACATGGGAGACAATCCATGTCACTTGAAGAGCTTCCTACTCTCACTACCATATTGGGTACTCTGCCCACAAAGAAAGAGGCTCTTTCACTAAAGAGATAAAGCTCTTCGGCAATGGCGGGGGGTGGGTAGAAACAGGGCTCGAAGGAGGAAGGAAAATGCAAAGGTTGTAAAGACATGGGATGGGCACCAAGAAAGACCTGGGGCCAATGTTGCAAAGTTCTGACATTTCCAAGGAAAGTGAATTTCCTCCTTCCAAAATACACAGGAAGCCAAGTGTTAGACTAAATTCCAATAACCTCATTAGAAGAATTATTTCCTGAATTAGGTTTCCATTCACAGGTGCGGGGCTCCAGCCTGCTTGGCAACTTAGAGAGGCTGAAAGATCACAGGAGCCAGAACCTCTGCGGGAGGGGAGAGGTGGTCCGTTCCAGGCACCCTGAACCCCAGACCAAGTTGGTAGTTTGTTAGAACTAGAACCCCAGTCTCTTGATGCCCAGACTAGCATCTCTTATGCTCCCTCACACTGTACAATTCACATATTTCACTTTTTGCCCCGAGATGCAAACAGAAAGGCACGCACACCTACCTGCCGGTGCGGTGGTTATCACTACTTGCACCGAGTGTGGCTCAGGAGACCCCAGCAGGGTGACATTCACCGTGTAATCCGTTGCCGGGTACAGGTCTAAACACACTTCCAAAGCTTGTTCCCCGGTTGTGAAATTCAATGATGTGGCGTGATAAAAATCATGCAGATACCCCCTTCGGCCCAGAATTTTAACCTGTCATGAGATTAAATGAAATTGTTGCATTACATTTGCTGTTGATCTGCAGATATCGAAACTATAAGCAAAATAAAGACAAAGCAAGAAGTTTCCTTCTATTTGTCTTCATCCACTTAGAGTTACATTTAGTACAAGAGCAAGCTAAACTGGGGAAGGGCTTTACTAAGTTACCCTACATATTTTTATGCAACTTCCCCCTCACACAACTACAGACTAACCTTGAAATGCGTAACTTCATCTCGGATGAACTGAGTGTCAGGCTATTCCAAGGTAATCCCTGGACTGCGTTGGAGTTACTGGGCAAGATTATTTTAAATTCTTTTCATTCCTAAGGATTTCTTCAATAAGCCTCAAGGAACAGTTTTTAAACTTTATGAGAACTACTCCAAACTATGCATTCAAAGTAACTGCGAAGTGACACTTACTTCACGTGTTCTTTTCCAGCTGAGCTCTGCTGTGAAATAGCTTTTGGTCTGGGGAGTCATCACATATGCTGCCAGCTCAGTCCATTGCCAACTCAAGTTGCAGATTTAACTTAGGGACTTGTAAGGGAAAATACATGTGCAGGTCCCAGAAGGAATGTGCCCAGCCCTTGACTGATCCCTGTGCTGTAAGCTGGATGTCCATGCGTTCAGTGTTCCCTCTGCTGCTCATGTCATTCGCTACCCCACCCACCCCCTCATCACTGCCATCGTTCCACAGTCATCCAAGACCCTGACACAGGACTCACTGGGAGATTCCTCTCTCCCCCAATTCCTAGCATTCTCTTGGGTAATTTAAAGGTCTTCATATATAAGCCATCAGCACCTGGCCTCAGAATCCCTTGAGCTCAATGCTATGAAGTTCTCCCACTCAACATTCGTGGCTCAGATCCCCAGCCACACCCTGGACCATGTCATCACAGAGTTGATCCACCAAGATCTCACATGTCCTATTCTGGACCTCTCATTCCCACTAGACATGATCTCTCTCAAGATAACCCCTAAGATTTCCTCACTCAGGATTTTCTACCAATATTCTCCTACTTCTGTCCTCGTCTTCCCCACCTATCTCAGATACCACTTTTTATCATATTGGCCATTCTCTTCCCCAATACCCTCAATGCCCATGCTCCTTTGTTCTCAATTCCACCCCTTGTAGAAAACTCAAAGCACTGGGCCAGTCCAGGTGTTTGGCTCCCTCACCCCCGCGTTCAGACTGCTGACGTCTGCTGGAGAAAATCTCACAACTCTGGAGGCTGCATTTCTCCGTCATTCTCCTCCTAAACTTCATGTAGTGTAGTCTATAAACAACAACCAAAAAGGCTTTCTAGTTATAGTCTTTGATTCTGCTGTATGTCCTATTTTACAATACAGTCCTTTTATTTATCAATATATCATAAGGTTTTTTCTCTATCATCAATTCATTCTATAGCTAGAGTGCCTCTGACTTGCCAGCCAGAATATACAGTGTTGGGTCTACAAGGGCAAATGAGTTCCTAACCTAACACACCACAAATAAATATTCAGGCAAATAAAACACTCAGAGAGAAGTGTGGTCATACATGAGGCTGTAGGAGCACCCAGGAGGGACACCTGACCCTCCTTCAGGGATCCGAGAAAGCTTCCCTATCTTAATTGGGGACTGAAGGAGAAATCGACATTCACCAGGAGGCCTGGGGAAGTGAAGGGACAGAGTGGGAAAAACAGTGCGGATAGCAGGGACAGCGTTCAGGGCAGGAGGTCGGTGTAAGCCTCCCACCCGGCAGAGGACTGCGCTGAGCCTTGGAGCAGGGGCGGGAGTTAGCCAGGTGGGCCCAGGGAGGGAGGGAAGAGGGTTGCAGGAAGGACAGTCACAAGTGTGAAGACACATGTGAAAGAAAATGCAAGTAGCTTGTCAGGGATCCCAAAGATTATGGAATAGATGAGGTCTGAAGAAATAGATTTAGGAGTCTCAGCGTCGAGATCATTAAGGAAGCCAAGAGACTGGGTTAGATGCCCAAACAGGGTACAGAATATAAAGAGAATGGGCAAGGTAAAACTGGGGGTAATCAGATTTAAGGGCAGGTAGAGGAAGGGAATCCCATGAAGGAGACTGAGGGGGGGTCGAGCCAGCAGGAGAAAAAGAGAGGAATATTGGGCAAGAACAGCAAGTGATGTCCGGTGTGAATTAGATGATACTTCATGTCTGTGTAGTGCTCTATCAGATGAAGGTATGAATATTTATTTAAACTAATTCCTACTGATGAATATTTGTTTCTGATTATAACTAATAATTCAGAGAACAGCTTAATTTTTCTGTACATGCCTGAACAATTCATTATCATACACTTCTAAAAGTCATAGATAGATAGTAGCAAATATCAAATAACTGTGCCAGAAATGTCATGCCAATTTAAGTGCCCAACAGCTGTGTGTAACAGTACTCTCTCCAAGTTTATAGAAAAATCATAGTATCTCATGGTTTAATTTTTTTGTCTGTTTATTAGTGAGACATAATGTGTTCATGCATGTTTTAGAAATATGTATATTCTCTTTTGCAAACTGCCTTTGAATATTCAGTTTTTTATGGATTTCTTAAGAGTGTTTCACATGTTACTTAAATTTTTCTTTGTCTAACATATTAACAAAAGCTGTTCAGCCATTTTTAAAAAGATTTTATTAACTTATTCTTAGAGAGAGGGAAAGAGAGTGAGAAAAAGAGGGAGAGAAGCATCGAGAGCTTGTACATGCCCTGAGCTAGAGACCTGGCCCACAACCTAGGCATGTGCCCTGACCGGGAATCGAACCAGCAACCTTTCAGTTCTCAGGCTGGTGCTCAATCCACTAAACCACAACAGCCAGGACTTCTCTTTTTCTTTATATTGCTTGATCCATTGTGATACAAAAGCAATTTTTTCAATTCAATCAGTTTAGTGTAGGAGTAAAAAAATCATTTCTTTTCCTTTGTTACTTAAGAGAAGTTTAATATTCATATTATATACATAAGAATTTTTAAATGTGTGAAGAATGTTGGAATAAAGTTTTCAATTAATACTGCCTATTTTTTGTAGTTGGGGAGATTTATTGGTCTTCTGCATAAAATCATTTATGGTCTTCTCTTGAGATTAATAGCCAGTAATGGGTCACCTAGTAAGTAAGAAATGCATTGAAATAACAGTAAGGAGCTAGGATGGGAACGTGGACTTCTGTAATTCTCAGCTGCCCAGGGTCCAGCTTCTTGTTTCTACAGAACCATGGTTTCCCTTTGGGAAACCCACTTGGAGAGTGAGCATGAAAGCATGTGATTCTCACCAAATACTTTTGTCACCTTCAAAAAGGTTCATGAATTTAGTTATTGTCATGTACAGATGCTCTATCTTAAAGACACTGATTTTTGCTTTGGGTGTCTGTGTTCGTACCACACATATTACAGCATGGGTTTTTCACTCAATATTTTGTTTTTGAGACTTATCCACGGTGAATTATTTTGATCTAATTTATTCATTTTTAGCTCCTATATAATATTCAGTTTTATAAATTTATTAGGTTAAGCCATACCAAAACAGCTGAATAGCAGCAATTTCACATGGCTCGACCAAATATCACAACTATCTACTTTCCAACTGAAGTTATTTTCAATATTTTATTATTGTAAGCAATGATGTAATGAAAATCCAATTATATACCCTCATAAATACAAGTGCAAAAATTTCTCTAGGGTATATACTGAAAAGTAGGTCTCTGGCCAGGTGTCTCAGTTGGTTGGGGCATCATCCCATACACCAAAAAGTTTTTTGTTTGATCCCTGGTCAGGGTGCATATGCGAGGCAACCAATCACTATTCCTCTCCCCACCCCCCATCTCTAAAATCAATAAACATATCCTTGGGTGAAGTTTTTTTTTTTTTAAGTAGAATTGCTGAGTCTTGGGATATATACAACTTCTATTTAAATAATTTATTTTCTTAACCAAGTAGTTAACCAATTGTCTCAGAACCATTTATTTCTGCATTCATTTGAAAAATCATTTTTATTGTATATTAAATTATTTGGGTACTTGAATATGTTTCTAGGTCCAGTGTCCTCTCTAATACGAAAAACTGAGTACTTCACTCACTTGCTTAAAGGCCTTCAGCACCTCCACATAGACATCAAAATAAGATGAAAACTCAAAAGCATAGGATACAGGGCTTTTCATGATGTGGCCACTGCTTAGATTTTTGCCTCATCCCTTCCCACTTCCCCTTACTTCCTCTATCCCCGGAGTCACATTCTCTATTACTCAGCTTGCTATTCTACACACCCACTGCACCCTTCTTTGCCCTCACGCCACCTCCTTTATCTAGTTAATTCCTACTCATTCTCTATGACTTAACACCATCTTTACTTCCTGTTTTAAAAAAATTGTACCTGGACATACACACAATATCCTATTCCATTTATTTACTTTTTATCAAAGCACTCACTGTATCATATTGTAATTGTCTTTTTAATTGTAAAATGATATTAGTTTGAATAGGAACTTCCATGTCCTAATACCTGGTATACTTTTGGTAAACGATTAATTAATTACTTAATTTTAACTTAATTCCTCCTCAGTCTACTCTCTGACAGATGATTTGCTAGGCACTGAAAATAGTGCATAAAAATAACAAATTTCAGTTCCTTCCTGAACTCACTCATAATTTTACTTGAGGTCTGTGATGTTTAAAAAGTCAAGCTAAAAAAGAAGAAAATTTCACCCTTTGTGACAGTATGGATGGACCTGGAGAACATTATGCTAACTGAAATGAGTCAGTCAGAGAAAGACAAATACCACATGATTTCACTCGTCTGTGGAATTTAATGAGCAAGTGAACTAATAAGGAAAATGGGGACAGGCTCATTGATGGAGAACAGGATGACAGCTAGTGGAGGAGAGGAGGTTAGGGGGTGGGAGGATTGAGCAAAAAAGGAAAAAGGGCTCATGGACATGGACAACAGTGTGGTGATTGTTGGGGGGAGGGGGTATAAGGGGACTAAATGGTAATGGGAAAAAATACAATAAAGATTAAATTAAAAGTAAAAAATAAAAAGTCAAGTTAAATGAGGACAAATAGCCATGCAACAAGTTTCTTAAAAACCCACATCCTTGTGTGAATTTGATGACAAAATAAGCAGCAATTACTCAATGCACTAATAAGCTTATAATACATGTAAAATACCAGACAGGGAAAATGATAGCAAGTCACTAAATAGAGTGTCTTCCTTTAATTTAGTCCCTCACTTGCATCTACCTCATATCTCATATCCATCTCTAGAAACAAAAATCAAACTGTCTAGATGTTCATTTCATAAGTGTTTCTAAATATTTTGAATCCTCACTTGGAGCGCACCCAAATTTTTAAGTGACATAATTCTTTAATAAATAATACAAGAGATCTTACTTGGTATATTTGTTCTGATCCAACTTTCCTAGAATGCCTGTTCAATTTCAAACAAGCTTCATTAAATATTGAGATATTGAAAATTCCATCATCTTCTAAGAGATCATCTTCTAAAAGACAAGAGAGAACATAGAGAAAGGTGGCATCATCTTAGTAAACACGTCACGGCCAAGTACACAGGAAATTCTAACATCTTAAGAGAGCCAACGGGGTGTTTAAAGACAAGACCACTGCATTTGGCTTCAAGCCCTGGCTCTACAACTTCTTTATTGCATGACTTTACCTAAGTCACTTAACCTTTCTGAACCTCAGTTTCCTCATTTGTGAAATCAGGTCATCCAGTTTGCTTTCCTTACATGACAGGCTGTTTCCTTACATGACAGGCTGTTGAGAGTATCAAATGAAATAATGCATATTTAAAAATTGCTGTAAACTAATCAAGCTGTGATATTTTTAGAAATGTAATCCCATCACTTAAGTAAAATGGCATGTGATATAAGCATACAAATAACCAGAAAAAACTCTGAGACTAGGAAAAAGGTAAATAAAGGCAAAGGCCACAAGGTAGAACTCTCGGAGCGAGTGTTTCCATCTAGAAGATGACCAGCAAGTAGTTGGCCAGGAAGGATGTTTGTTCTCACAGCAGACTGCATTTCAAGAGAGCTGCTCCGACGAGTTCTAAGGCAGTAAAATAATCAGAAACAGACTTATTTCAACCACTGTGCAGAAAAAAGTAATTTCATGCCTTGTGTAGTCTAATTCTTTCCATCACTGTTCTATTTTCTTAATGTAATCACAAAGAAGAGGTTTGTTAGTAATGAATAAAGAACTCACAGAGAGCCCAGGAATACCATGGCTAATTTCTGAGGAAAAGCAAACTTCCTAACAAACAAGCTATATGTTTTCCACAAATAAGAAAAAGTTTAAATGTCTACCAGAGGGAAGCTTTTTATAACTACCTTTTATGCCTATTTCTCACACAGGAGCCTCTGCCTCCTCAGGAGTTATAATAATAACAATAAATTATTCTGTTCAAGTCAGAATTGTCCACAGAACTGTAAGTATCACTGACATATGCTGCACCAGGCAATTAGCTGGGAGGGAGGAAATATTCTTGGCTATAACTGGAAATGTAAAAATATGGTTATGAGAGAGAATCTGAAGACCTATCGGATGTGCTCTCCTTTATCTTCGCAACTTTTATTTTAAAAGATTTCATATGGACATCTGAAACAAAAACTGCTCCACGTATGCAAAGGATTCTGAGGCGCATCAATATACATATTGTATTCAGAAATACCACACACGGTGTATGTACACAAACAGAATGTAAAGGCAGAACTGCTGTCTGCACACTGAATACCCATCTCCATATGATTTTCGCCCTTACAGCCATTATAACCTGAATTCAGGGAGTGATGGCAACGTGAAGGAAGGCATCTCATTCCCACTTCCCACCCCCAATCCAGACAGAAGTGCTGAGAATAGTAAAAATGGGTCAAAATTTGCATCTGGGTTGGAAAGGAGGGTCGGTTGCCATACACAAGGCAGAAACACGAAGATATTTGAGCTCGGCACAGCGTGGAAGGAGCAGGGGAAGAAGAAATACATCGAGTGCTTCTGGGCAGCATGACTTCCAAGCAAAGGAGCATGGTCTCAGAGTCTCAAAGGATGGACCTGGAGGAGGGCAGGTGTCTACAGAGGTGGAGGCTGGAAGCAAGGACAGGCCACAGGACAAAAAAGTGATGAATACCCCATCTACCACCATTTATCCCAGTGGTTCCCAGTCTCAACTGCATATCAGAAACACCTGGACATAGCAGATCTAAAATAAAGCTTGGACATCTACATTTTCCTTTAATTTACCAAGCAATCTGATAGGTGGCCAGGGTAAAAAGTGTATGTACTACTACAAATAAGTATAGTCCCTTTTTAGCACACTGGAGATTTCCTAAGGTGAGGCTGAGGGACCTGGAGGTTTCATGGGCCTGGGTTGGCAAAAAGAGAGACTTGGTTCTTGTTTACCTTCGTAGGCTACACCACCACCATTAAGCCAGGCAACGCTGGGCTGGCCCAATTGCGACAAAGTCACCAGTCAAGATAGCAAAGTGCTCAGAAAGAAAGCTCAGGGCAATGGGCTTCCTCACAGCTGCTCCCCACTAGATGCTAGATCATCCAAGCTACACTAACTCCTTCAAGATGAGATCTGAGATACTAATATTAACCAATAAAAAGAGCAAAGGTAATGGCATCCGTTTTATTACGAAAAAAAAAATCACACCTAAATGAAAGTTTTGTCTTCCAAGAATAAGTAACCCGGGAATGAGTGGAGCCCAAAAATGATTCTACAAAGAATAAGAGGGAGATTGTGCTTAGGAGGCAAAGAATGAACATACTTTGGGGAGAAAAATATTGAGCCAAATAATAGCAAAATTAGGCAACATGTGTCATATACTTTCAGTTAAAAAAATTTAAGATGGATTCAAAAAGATAAAGGATGAGATTAGAGGAGAATGCAATAGTACAGAGGAAATTCGTTGAGAGAGGCAGAAATGAAAAGGGAAGTGGATGAAATAAAGAAACAAAAGAGAAGCGCAACAAGGAATTCAGAGTGCATTAGAAATGATGGAGATAGAAAAGTCAATGCATGTATGCATGAATACATACGGAGAGCGAACTTGCTACCGTCCTCATAGAAGACAGAGGAAAAAGACACGAATATAAAATGAGAGAAAAGGAAAGACCAATGCAGACAAGAAATTCCAAAGAGGAGTATCTGAAGAGCCAAAAGAACAGCTTTTTTAAAAAAGCAATAATCAGAGATTTCATGAAAGAAAATGTTCCTAATGTGTAGATAGGCCAAATTGTGAAGACAAAAAAAAAAAACAAAAAAAACAAAACCCACAGGGTACTAAGAAAATTTATTTCTAAAAAAAATTAACATTTATATCAGCCACGACTGAAGTTTCATGAGAGAAGGGATTTCCTTCTCATTCGCTGCTAAACTCCCAAGGCCTAAAACAATGTCAAACATGTAGTAGGTGGTCGATAAACATTTACCATGTGTATGATAAAGTGATTAAAGGTTTGACTTTCACACATAAAGAAAGCCTCTATGATATCCAGGCTGAAAAAATCAGGTTATCTACACAGGACTTTTAAACTCACACCTTCTTCAAACTCTTCTTTCAAAACTTTCAAGTCCCATTGCCAATGTGAAATGCCTCCAGAGTTCCTACAACAAAGATTATGTATGGCCCAAGAATTTTATCTTCAGTCAAGCTCTCATTCACTCGTGAAGAAAACAAAAAGACATTCTCAGATAGTCATGGGCTCAGAAAGTATCCCATTTCTCAGTGAGCAGAGGGCAGAAACCATTGTGCAGAGAGAAGAAATACAGAAAAATAGAGAAACTTTGGTATGAAACTTAAAATGCAGTAAACATTGAGACTACTATAACATAAATCTGTTTAAATAATTATTATAAATGTTGTTATAAATCAAGATAAAAGCGAACTCTTTAAAGATGTAATACATGTCGAAAGTAATTAGAAATAAGCAGGTAATAAAATGCCATGTTAAAGCAATAACATAAGGGAAGTGAGGGGGCAGAAGTAAAAGGAAGTAAAGAATACTTACAACTCCCACATCCTTTTCAAGGGGAAGTTAACATTATTTCAGCCTTAACACTGGTAATCCGAGAAATACATATGCAAGCAGGATTATTTTTGTTTTTTAATATGTATTGTGGAATAAAAACAGAGTCTTTTTCAATGATTCAGATGATACTGTCTGAATCTTTGAAAAAGAAACTCTGTAGCAAAAAGAAAACAATGGACATAATAAAGTAGCATAAAAAGAGTAAAATAAAATAAGATGACAGAAGAAAGGAAAACTGTATCACAAACAACACTAATGTATATTGCTTAATTTACCCACAAAAGAATAACACTTTTCTCAGAAAGGCTTCTCAACATATGCGGTCCCCTGGTGTACATCTTTAACACTGTTATCTTTTAGGGAGAACAAAACTGGGTGAAAGCATGTCACACAAATGGAAGCACAAAGAAATCAAGGAAGCCAGTATTGCTAATCAAAGTATAATTCAGGGCAAAAAATATTAAACAAGACAAAGTGAGCCATTTGTGAGTAGCAAAAGTTAGAATCTACAATTAAGATACCAGTCATGACTATAAATATGACATCAAAAGGTGTGAAACAAAACAATTAGAATTTCTAAGAGAAATTGAGGTAAATGGTGATCCAACTAAACAAAAAAGCAACAAAACAAATTTTTTAGAAAATCTCAGAAGTCCTGGAAAATCTTTAAATAGAGTTCATTGAAGACTAGATATACTCTATCTTCAAGCAAACACTCTACTATCCAGCACCAACCATAAAATTATAAAAATTGGCCAAAATTACAAAAATTGGCCCAGGGTAAGCCCTCCCAAAATGTCAATAAATCCACCAAGAGAATACCAAAATGCAATTAAACTAGAAATAACAATAAAGTGTAAATGTCTAAAAAATACCAGTTGTATAACACATAATTAATCATTCTATGAATGGGAAAATCAAAATAGCAATTATTTAATGCTTTGAAAGTAAGGATAAAGAAAACATGTATTAACACACTCATAAATAATTCTTCAATCAAAGGGAAAATCAGAATAGCAATTATATCATGCCTTAAAAGTAAGAATAAAGAGAACAGGTATCCATTCATACCTGAGGAATTCTGCCCGTGCTCAAAAGCAGAAGGTAAAAAGAAAAAATAAAGACTTTTATTATCAAACAGGAAAGATTGGAAATAAGTTGAATTATGCATTCACCTCAAGAATTTAGTAACAGAACAATTTAACCAACTTAAGAGAAGCAGGAAGAATAAAATAATAAAAATAAGGAAGAAATCAATGAGATACAAAAAAGAAAAACAATTTAAAGACCCAAGAGTTTATTCTTTGGGGGAAAGAACAGCAGCAAAACAGACAACCCAAGATAAGCTAATCATTTTTTAAAAGAGAGAAAACAATAAAATTAGGAATAAGAATAACCTGGGGTTATATAACCTGTAAACGCAGAGGAGTTGTAAGCAAATATTCCGTATGACATTCTGCCAATATACTTTAAATATCAATAAAATGGCCACTTTTTAAGGAAAACATTAATTATAAAAACTGACTCAAGAAAATGAAAGAAACATAAACAGACCAAAAATAATCATAGAAGAAATCACTAAAGTTATCAAAGAATTATCTCCCAAAAAGTGTGAGATTTAAATGATCTTATGAGCAAATGTGTCCACCTTTAAAGGAAAGGAATCAATTCAAAACTTATATAAATTTTTCAAGAGCATAAAAAATTTGGAGAAGTTCTCAATTCATTTCAAGAAAACTAGGACAACCCTGAAAATAAAATCAATAATTAAATATTCAGGATCTAGAGGGGGAAAAAATGATAAATCTTTATGAAAGTGCATAAATAAAGAGGGTAGACAAAACCCAAGTAGATATTGAGTAAATGTAGAAATGTACCTGTTTCCTATTGGGATGACTCCGTCTAAATCCCAATTCTCACTAAATTAATTTACAAATTTAATCCAATTTTCCCTAAAATTCCAGACAGAGGAAAGCAGTCTGGAGACATTAAACATCTCAGCCAAGGCCACGCAGCTCCTCATGGCACGTTAAGATGCAAAGCCAGGTCTGTCTGACCCCAAAGGCCATGCTTTCCCAGTGGAAATTAACTTGAAGAAGTAATGAGAGACTAGTAAAATCAGCTGACCCTGAACAGCAAACTGTCATTCTGACGGAACAGTGAAAGATGAGTTTGAAGTCCTGGGATGAGCATTTAAAAAAAGACATATTCCTAATAAATCCATAGCAATTTATTATTAATTTTGTACAAGCTTCTCTAATTAGTTACTATATTAACCTTATAGTATCTTTCCTTACATATTGTTTACTTAGAAAGAAATCATTTTGTTTTATTCATATACAAGTACTCAGGGACCTAATTTGTGTAATTTCGCAGTTGGCTTCATGTTGTTAAGATTGGCAGCCTTTTCAATCATTTCTACCAAATCTGTGTCACTTCTGATTCCTAGTGGCAGCAATAACTGAAGGTTGAGGTACATTTTCTTAAGTAAGAACTATCTCAACTCTCCCAAAATAAAAAAATGACCTCAATGGCTTTTAAAGGTTTTCTTATAAAATACTTAATCAGTCCGTACACTCTATTACCAGGATTATTTTTTAAAAACATTATAATTGTCACAATGTTATTATAAAAATCCATGTGATAACTCTGTGCAATGAGGTTTATTACTACTTCTTGAAACTCCTTTCTGCCAATTTTTCTTTTCACCCAACATTTACCTTCCTGCATCCTGGGACTGCCTAACCCTATCCACTCGCCCCTTGTCAATTTGATCACCCAGCCCCGATCAGTCCTGGGGGCAGTTCCCATTCTAGACAGAGAGCCACTGGGTCGGTGTCCCTGGCTCCTCCTCTCATTGGCAAGAGTAAGAAATGCCTTTTGCATTTCATACGAAAGATAAGCCATGTGGTTACCCATAACACATAATTAATCCTTCCATGAATGGGGAAATCAAAATAGCAATTATTTAATGCTTTGAAAGTAAGGATAAAGAGAACATATATTAACATACTCGTAAATAATTCTCCAATCAAAGAGAAAAATCAGAATAGCAATTATATCATGCCTTAAAAGTAAGAATAAAGAGAACAGGTATCCATTCATACCTGAGGGATTCTGTCCATGCTTTTTATAGCTAAGAATTGACTGCATCTTCACCTAATGCTGTTCTCTTTTAAACGCCCTCTTATTGCCTTCCACTTCACCCAGGCACCCCAGCGGAGAAACAACACATGCAGCCTGGTACCACCAGGACAGGAATCTCTCCTAGGCATTCTCCTGGCTACAGATCTCAGAAAGCAACTATGAACTCTCCTGCCCAGTTGCTTCTGAAGCACATTTCCCCCACATCCTGTGCTTAGCATTTTCTAGGAGGGAAAGAGATTTCAGTCCCACCTACCTGCTGTCTGCAACCCAATGAGGGCTGGCACAGAGCGTCTGGGAGGGGCAGTGGAAACGCTCACGGTGTAGTTGGTGCCTTGGTGCAGGTCTAGGCACACTGCTGGAGTCCTGCTGTCTGTGGTCAGGTTGACTGTCTCCTCGTGAACTGATTCCATAGGGTCCGCCCGGTGTCCTTGTATGTGTATCTTTGCAAGGAGAAGAGACAAGAGAATCCACCAGAACTACAGTTAAAACCACCAAGGGAGACTTCGTGGTGCTGGATCCTTTTCTCCTACTATTCCCTTTTACCCAGGCTGCTCACCTGGGGAAGATAAAAGAGGGAAACTACTGACATCAGGTATCTGAGGATGAAGTCTGATCAGCCATAAACCCTAACAAGTGATATAAAATGAAGAGTCCCTCTGGGGAGTGACATAGAAGCGCCTAGAAACAGGTCTGGATACCAAATGTAAATCCGTCTCTACACATACACCCTGTCAAATGACAAACACATGAAGCACAAAATGTAAAATAAAATACTCCAGATATCTTTAAAAACCTGCTCACTTTTTAAAAAGATGATGGGATTTGGAAAGCAATTAGACTGAGAGGCTCTTCCGGAAGCAAGTCCGTCGCCTCACGTTCCCATGAGTCACCATTTCTGTCCTCACAGGAAAAAAGTAGATCACCTTACTTACCACATACACGATCTCGGAGTCTATTCTTCCTGGGTTTATTTGCCACCTCACACAGGTGTTATTAAACACTGACAGAGCATTAATTTCTGTAATGATTTCTAAAACAGAAAAAAGAGATAGTCCACTCACAAAATGCATCAATGAGCTTTGGAAAAATCCTAACAGCAACCATGCTGGAGGGCAGGGCTTCATGTATTTGCCCAGCTCATATCTCTGCTGCCCACATGCTCTGACTCAGAAACCGAATCAGGCAATTCCGGCAACCCCAGGCCAGCCACCTCGTTTATCTTCATCGTGAATGAGACTGGCTTGCGGGGAAAGGCAAGATTCCTGCCCGAGCAAGTATGGGTAGGAAGTCCAACCTGTGCTTGGCCAGACAGGCCACTGGATGCCACTGGCGTTCTGCTCATGTGGGAGGGGAAGAGGTCCAGGGCTGCGCCCTGAATCTCCTCTGCAGCTGCACAGCTAGGATCGGCTTCTGGCTCCTCATGCCTCTGGCCGGTGGAGCGCTCTTATTTCCAGGTCACCGCTGTTCCCCAGAGGGAAAAGACAAGCATCGCCACTCGGGACTGTTCTTCAGGAGCAGGTTGGGATAAACTAAATGAATTTTCACAAGGTCCCTGGATACTTTTGGGCCTCCTTGAACTGAAACTGTTTAATCCTGATCTATCAGGAAGCCTCTGGTGTCTTCGAGCTGTTTGGCTTCTTTTAAATATCCTGTATCTGTTTCATGTAACGAATTTGGCAGTGTGGGAAACCATATTAGGCTCTTGGTTCCAGTGGGCCCAGTTAGCTACCTGAGAAGTTGCTCTGATGGGAAGAGAGCAAGGATCTAGCTTTTTAACCTCTTTAAAATCAGATTTCCTGTAGATAAATAAACCTATCCCTATCAGTAGATGACATGATCTTGTCTATAAAACAATCCTAAAAATTCACATGCAAAAATAACCATTGCTAAGAAAGGAATTCAGCAGGGCTGCAGTATACAATGTCAATATACAAAAATCAATTGTATTTCTGTACACCAGCAAGGAGTAATCCAAAAATGAAAGAAATAAAACAATCTCACTCCAACTGGTGTGGCTCAGTTTGTTGAGCATCGTCCTGTAAGTTGAAAGGTCACCGGTTTGATTCCCAGTCAGGGCACATGCCTGGGTTGCACCAGGTCACCGTTTGGGGGTGTGCACAAGAGACAACTGATCGATGTGTTTCTTGCACACTGATGTTTCTCTCCCTCTTTCTCCCTCCCTTCCCCCCTCTCTAAAAATAAAAAAAAAATAAAATTGTTTAAGAAAAAAGAAAGAAAACAATTTTATTTACAATAGCATCAAAAAAGAATAAATTTTCCTACAGTGGAAGCTCCCCTGCTACTATCTCTGGAGGAGGGAACCCTCATTTCTCCAAACAGAAACATTCTACAGCCCAAATTCAGGCTTTTCCCACTGAATCAGGCATCTCTTATGGAGTCTTCAGAATCTCCCAGCCTCACCTGTTCCCTGTTCCAACCCTACATGGGCCTTGACAATATGGCTGTGTGTTGTCTCTCAGCAGGATCTGCTGGGGTACCCACACCCAAGCACATGCAACCTGGAGGTGCGGGGGAATTAATGCCCCATCTTTCTTTTTGCCAGAAGGACAGTCCTACAAAGGCCTCTCAGGGCGCTGATGCACAAATGGGATGATCACTTCCGCTTAATGGACCCAATGCAATAAGGAATCCTTACATTGGCTTTTCTTCCTTCCCTGCTTCCTGAGACATCATTCCCTATGGTATATATAATAAATAGAAGCCCTCTGCCTCAGGCTCTCTTTTCTGGAAAACCCAAGGAAAGACTCTCATCAATGAGAGTGAGAAACTGTAATTGAAAAAAATGTTTTTAATTAAAAATGAAAGAAAATGGCTCTCCTCAACTCAGCTCCTGTCCATCTCTTCTAGTAAATCTCTTCCCAGTCTCCAAGCAGGAAAGGGAGCCTGAGCCTTAGGCACCTGTAGGGTTGGCTCATTCATCCTGAACTCAGAACCAATGCCACCTTTAGATAAACCTTGGGCTACTGATCTCCTTGCCCAAAGAAGACTTGACATCTTTACTCAATCATCCCATCAGCAGCGTTACAGAGACTGTAAGTTCCACATCACCTAGCCTTGGCTAAACCCAGGTCAGATATAGATAAACAAGAATAAGTGGAGGCAGAGAGAGGAAAACAGGCAAACTCATGGGGAGACACTGGAATATTGCCTATGGCTGTCCAATGCATTCCTGGGTCTCTACATCAGTACTTCTCCCCAGAGCACAGAGAATGTGAAATCAAAGAAATATTCCAGCTGTGGACATGAGTACTCTAAGAGATGCAAAGGTTCTATCCATGTACCCCCAAGGGTTGCATAAAGATGATGTTGCCACCAGTCTATCATCAGCTTAAAGAAGCCCCTCCCCTCTCCACCACTCCTCAAAGCCCTCGAGCCCTGGACACCGATGCTCACTCACACATCCCTCTGATGTTAACTTACTACCAGGTCCGGAAGGAAAAGGAAACATCCCACACTTCACCTTCTGAGTTGTCAGTAAAGTAAATTTCCTTCTCACTCAGGATCCATTTGCCACCCAAGCAGAGATTAGAGAAGAGACACAAAAGTTTCCTTTCTTATCCTTCCTTTTTGCTCATTCACTATGACAACTGAAAATGACATCTCAAAAATGCCATCTGCCTCCAGCTTGTGCCATGCTCTCTGCACAGATGGGACCCAGATCTGATTATAGGGTGTCAGATATTTCATCTCAAGGAGCAGTTAACAAAGTTTTTTGTTTTTCCTTCCAGGTGCCTACAGATCAGCTTGAAAAACTTTTTCATAAACATATCAGATATTAAACATTCACATTAATGTTGCCTTTTTTAAAAGGGATGACTTGGGCCTGGACTAGTGTTGCTCAGTTGGGCATCATCCCACAAACTGAAAGGTCACCGGTTTGATTCCTGGTCAGAGCACATGCCTGGGCTGCAGGTTCAGTCCCCAGACGGGGTGCCTGTGGAAGGCAGCCAAATGACGTTTCTCTATCAATGTTTCTCTCCCTCTGCTTCTCCCTCCCCTCCCATCTCCCTAAAATCAAACAATCAATCAGTCAATCAAAATAAAAGAGATGACCTGGGAAGCTATGTCCTAATTCCAATACCAATAGGTGAAAACATTTCTAGAAGTTCTCTCTGGAATTTACTCCAGAGTTCTTTATTCACCATTAACAGAATGTCCACTGAACGTCAACCATTCCTTCCACGTGAGGCACTGGGCCGTGATGATGATCAGAAGTCCTTTTCTCAGGGGTATGCTGTCTAATGGAGGGAGCAAACATACAAGCAGGTAAACCACAACTCAGTAAGTATTAGAACAAAGCTACCCTCAAATACCACAGGGTATAGAGAAAAAAGTCATCAACTGTCACCAAGGGACCTGGAGAAGCCGGCTTCACTGTCACCATGAATTTAATGGATGAAGAGCTGAAGAGCAGAGAAGACATCTAAGCAGACAAACTAGCAGGTCTAATGCTTAGAATGGTAAAAAGGTGTGGCATATTCAGAGTGGAGATAGAGCAGTGCCCTGTGATTGAGGAAGAGGAAAAATGGGAAGTGAGGTTGCAGAGAGAGGACAAAGTCAGACTTGGAAAGACCTTGATAGGTAGGTCAATGTGTGAAGACTGATAAGTAGGTCTTTATAGACTTGACCTCATCTTTACAGCAGTTATAAGAAGGAATAATAAAATCAATAATGAGTTATTACCACACACCAGATAACACATATAATACTTTCATTTCTTTAATCTTCAAAATAGCCCCATAAGCTTGCTCCTACTGTGTCCATTTTACAGACCTGAGGCTTAGAGAAGTTAAGTAACCTGCCCAAGGAATAAGCAGTCAAGTCAGGATTCAAATCTAGATCTGTCTGATTCCAGAGCTAAGAGCCTTTGTTTGCATGGAAGTAGTTATTCGGCAAAAAGGCGAAAAGATTCAATCAGGGCACTACATTGAAAATCATGAAACAATTATGATAGAGAAGCAACAGGAGTTGAGGACGTAAGGAACAGCAAGGAATCCTGGCTTCCTGCCGGTCTTTGAACTTGAGAGTCTGAATGGATTGCCTTTTACTGCTCTCATAATAAAAATAGGAGGAAGTCAACCCAGTTTGTGAGAAAGAAACTAATGAATTGTGTTTAGAACATGCTGAGTATGAGTTATCTATAGACTATCCACGTGAAAAATAGCCTTGAAAGTCATCAATGTGAGGATGACAGCTGAAGCCCTGGATATTGGTGAAAAATCCAGGTAGAACATCAAGTGGCCCAATGACAGAACACCAGGAAACACAGACACCAAAGGGGAAACCGGAGGAGAAAGGACAATGCAGAAGAAAGGTAAGAGGTTGGCTGAGAGAGCGTGATGGTCAAGAAGTCAAGGAAGAGATTAAAGGAGCCTCTGCTTCCTCCAAAATGATCTCCCTTCCTTCCCACCACAACCTCCACCTCTTGCACTCAAGGGGGGCCTGGAGCAGACCATCAAGGCCCCGGGGGCAGGTTCTCTCTCTCGCCTGTCATGTGGCTCTTTCTGCTCTGACAGAGTGCCAGTGTCATGGCTGGTCTGATATTTGACTTTGGTAAAAGTTACTAACTCAATAATTTTGTAATTGCTTATTTAATGCCGACCTGTCCTGAATGTAAGCTCAGTGATGGCGAAGACCGGGTTTATTCCTAGCCCCGGGACCTAATACAGTGCCTTGGACATAGATAGTTTTAAAATATTCATTATTTGGTTGATTGGTTGAATGGGTGGATGAATAGACAGATGATCAGCAACGCTAAATTGTGTAGAAAGGTGAAGAAGAATAAGGACTGAAAGTAGAACACGAATTTGGCCATTAGGCGGTCACTGGCAGCCTTGCTGAGAAAGCCATACAGTGAAGTGGGGGTGTGGGATGCCTGGTTCTCCCTCAGGAAGCGGAGAAGGCGACGGGGTGGGAGGGAACGGGACAGTGAGCAGAGACTGCTCTTTCGGAAGTCCCCCTGTGGGCCGGGACTGATCGAGTTGCCAAGTTACTCTCTTGGTTTCCAATTTTAGATCTTTTTTCTTTATTCAGGTGACCCAAACAATTGTCAAGCTCAATGGCATTTCTAGATGAAAACAGTACCTAATTTCAGAATTAATATAACTGATCTTCTAATAAGACTCATCAACTACCTTTGAAGGCAATTCCCAAACAGGGATTATAAAACAGATCTTGATAAGGCAGCATCATTAAAATGAGGGTATGGCTTCCCAAGGTGACTACTTTAAATAAGTGCATATTTGAATAAATTAAATCATAGCAGTTCTGCAATGTTTACTTTCTTTTTCTTTTTTTTCAGTCTTTAGAGTCACATAAAATAAGTAGAACTAGCATGGCTTAGGGGAGCGATTTCCTAAAATGCATTATGTACATCAGGATGATTTTTGGTTGTGCTTAGATACATTTTTATATTTGCTTTGTATTACTTTTTGTGTAAATTAGAAAAAATACACCTAGTTCAAAGTCATGAGGTCACCTATATTACAAAGTGCCCTTGATCAACTCATTTAAATTTAAATTTTAAATATAAGTTGTTTTAAAAAATTATTAAACAAATAATACTTTTGGTATAGCAAACATTGTCAGGTTGGTATACAAATAATTCAAGTTTGGAAAACACTAACATAGGAGAGAGATCGGGGCTTTCGAGGCTAACAGACCTGAGTTCAAGTCCTAACTCTGACATCTGCTAGTTACTGAATGACCCTGTGAAAGCTGTTTTAACTTTCATGAGTCTCAGATTACTCATCTATGAAGTGAAAATAGCAATCCTTAACTTCACAGGGCTTTTGTGAGGACAAAATGAAATCGAGCAATAAGACCGCTAGCAGAGCTCTGGGGGTGTGAGTTGGCATGCAATCAGTGGTGGCTATAATGCTTGATGGTCCAAACATTATTGCACATGTTTAAACAAATCCCAGCCATGTGGCTATTTATATAAATGAGTCCCCTCATCCTGGCTGACCTTTCTTTTCCATCTGAATTGTGTAGAGCTGCAAGTGAGCATCACTGGGTAGAAGAGAAGGGTTGACAAAACAAAAACAAAAACAAAAACAAAACAAGGAGCAGAAGCTACGAGGAGGCCTGGAGGCAGCTGGACTTGGTGCCTCAGTCAGGTTAGGGGTCTCAGAAAGGATCTTAGCAGATAAACAGTCTGTGTTCCAACAGAGATATTACCCTTCTGAAAGCATGGAAGAAGTAAGCATTAGCCTTATAATTATTAACTCAGATTCTAAACATAAAATGTCAAATGACCTGTGCAGAATGAAAGCCAGGGACACAGTCTTATCAAGAAAGAATCAACCTCTTTGATCTTGAGGTAAACCAACTCACTGAACATCAAGCTTCTACCTGGGGTTTTTCCAGACACTAGTTACCTAATTCTCAGCTGTCTGGAGTTTCCAGTCCAAACCAGCCTTAAAAAAGAAAAAAAAGTCACCACGTTGCTGGAGTTCACACTCCATTAAAAACACATACAGATGCATGTGACTAATCCAAAGAAATAGGGGCTCCCAAAATATTTTTAACTAAAAACAACCCAGGTAAAATGAAGATAAATTATTCCACCCAATTTGGAACTAAACATTTAACTATAAAAGAGGGGTCAACAGAATGAAAACAGAGAACAGAGGCCAAGGGCATTCAGAGATTAGGCAGGAAAGTAGAAGATGCGGGGGACCCCAATGTGGACACTGAGGGAGGTAAACACAAAACCCACAAGAGGGAGCTGGGACAGAAGGGGCGTTGTGAAGAGATGGGAGAAAACAAGGAAAAGAAGCAGGAAGAGGGGCAGCTGAGCAAAAGCCGTGGCAATCAGCACCTCTCACTACTTCTCCCATAGCCTCTCCTGCCTTCACATCCGCGATCCTGTGCAGGGCGCTATGAATTAATCAGCATGGAAATGACCCCCTTTATCTGCAGAAATTGAATTCAGCTGCCAATCTTGATGGAGGGCCTAGAGGCCTCCTCACAGAAAGATAACAGCTCCCAGGGAGAATGCCTTGTCTCTCCTTAAATCAAAGCGTGCACAAACCCATGGAAACAGCTGCCGCTGGAGCCACAGCCTCTGTGAAAGGTGGCAGGCTGAGGAGGGTAATTATAATTAGCAGTTACATAACATGTTTGTTCTTCAAAGTGCTCTACAAGCATCAGCTAATTAATAGCTTACTATGCCCCATGCAGATCCACAGGTTTTTCATGTAGTGACTAATCTTTGTACCTCCATTGAATTCTGAATGGTGGAGGCAGAAGAGCTGGAGCAAGGACGCAAATGGCTGGGTCCAGGAGATATGTCCAGCTCTCTTACCAAGTGACACCATACATAGCTCTGGGCCAGGAACATGTCCCCACATGTTGAATTCTGCATCCCATGAGGCAGCTGCCTCGCTTTCTCCAAATAACTCTTAGAGGTGCTGTTAGAAACGCAATAATAGGTTGGAATGACCACCAGTCTGGTCCAATATGGCATTAGCTCTTCTCAACTTCCCCAGTTATTAAGACTGTAAACCTGGAGTCCTTGTTGCAGGTACAGGTTTGCCTTGCTTTTCTGTGCAGGTTGAGCAAGTCAATGAGATCTCTGGTTATTATTCATGCCTGCCCTTTGTTGTTTCTATGGTTACAGTCTCTAGCCTCTATCTTCCTGTATTTGTGGCAGGGATGACTGAATGTGGGAACTGCACGCAACAGACAGGGCCTCAGCAGCAGAGCTGAGTTCTCCATCTACACCAGGAATGCTTTACCCAAGCATTTCTAGAGGTCCACAAACACTGTGAGTTTGAAAAACATCATAAGTATATGAGTATGTGCATTTCTTTGGAGAAAAGTCTATTTACCCAACTGTCCTGTAAATTCCAAGAAGGTCGTGTCTAGCAAAGTACCTCGTACATAGTGTATGCTACATAGCTATCTACCGACTGATTTGATAGATTTCATCAAATATGTATCCCCAAAATAGTTATGAACCATTGCTCTATGGACAAATAATCAGCAGCAATCCACAGGTTTTGCTTGCTCTGACTTTCCTATGGAAAACTGTGATTGGCAAAACCCAAGATATTCTATCATAATTCTGCTGTAAGTCAAACCAGAGACCCACACAAAGCTCCCCTGGGATTTCACGATTCAGGGTTCTGTCTTTGAAGCCAAGAAACTCAACATCTAGAAATACATTCCCAGAGCCACTCAACCATTTGTCATACCCCGAGACCAACCATCATCACAAATGGTGAGAAGCATCGCCTTTTCCCTCCTTGCTTCTTGGAGACAGGTGTGAAATAAAGCATGGGAAGTGCACATTTCTTATTCATGAGATCCTCTTTAACCAAGGCGAATAATTTCAGTAAAAGACCTAACACCTGTATGGTGCTTTAAACTTTTCAAAATGTTCCCCAAAGATTATCTCATTTGATTCTCTCTCAATAACTCTGAAAAGCAGGGGAAGCAGACTTTATTTTCCCACTTTTGGAGATGAGGAAACTGAGGTTTAGAGAGAATAATGCCTTACCAGATGACACACAGCTTAATACGTGGCACTGCTAGAATTTGAACCAAAGTCTCAGAACTCCTTTTCACCAGTAATTCTATTTTGGGTTATATGAGTACATCCAAAAGAATTGAAAGAAGGGTCTCAAAGAGATATTCTCACACCCGTGTGCAGAGCAGCATTATTCACAATTGCAAAGGGAAGGAAGCAACACAAGGGCCCATCAGTGGATGAGTGGATAAACACAATGTAGTATATACATAAATGGAATATGATTTAAAAAGAGGGCAAACTCATCACTTACGACAGCATGGATGAACCTGGAGTACATTATGCTATGTGAAATCAGCCAGTCACAGGACAAATATGACATGGTCTCATTTATACAAGGCAACTAAATTGGTCAAACTCATAGGAACAGAAAGCAGAATGGTGGTGCTGGGGGGTGCAGCGTGGCGGGGAGCGGAGAATTATTGTTTAATGAGAATAGAATTTCAGTTTCGGAAGATGAAAAAGTGCTAGAGTTGGCTGCATAACAATATGAATACACTTAATACTTAAAATGGTTAAGATGGTAAATTTTATGTTGTATGTACTTTACTGCAATTAAAAATGAAAATAAGTATTAAAAACCTATTTTTCATCATGCCAACTTTTCTCTGAAAAACTGCCAACATGGACAAAGTTAGGGCTTTAAAGTATGGTCCCCTGAGAAAATGGTTCATAGAGTAAAATCCCTGGGCCAGCCGAGCAGAAGGGACCGGAATCACTGTGATTTAGGGTGAGCTTCAAATGTTGGCAGCCTGAAATTCCCTATCCAACTGACTTTCCCAATCCACCCTATACATTTTCAGGATTCAGCTGACAAACTTAAAGCCAGGTGCACAGCCAGGTAAACGGCACAGCCAGGCGCAGTACACAGTGCGGCGGCAATCGAACAGCTTTAGGTTAGTGCTCCCATGACTATTTGCTTCTAGGAAACAGCAGCCCCACAGAATAAAATCTACACCTGTGCGTGTCCGAGTACTTTCTCTCCAGGTGCCTCTTTCTCTGTGCATACACAAGTGACCTTTCCTCCAGGACTCTCAAGCCCTCTTGGCAGACACAGCGAGCCAGGCCATCCCGGCTGCAGCCGTGGCCCCCACCAGGAACGGTGCTGCCCTCCCGGAGGGCGGCCACAGCGGATCTCTGCCATGGCAGGCAGCGCGCACTCATTAGGACCCTGCATTCTACCACTATAATTCACGTTTTGGAAAGAAACATAAAGTGATGATGGAAGCCACTCATGTGGGAAATGAGAAAACACTAATCCCACCAAGTCATCCAACTGCAGGCATATAAAGTGAGATTGTTCAGAAGTGGAGACAACAGGTATGTCTGACTTTAATAAAATTTACAACCACCACGCATAAAAATATTCCAATTATGAGATTATTTATATTATAAAGAATTCCTTGGTTGATGAAATAATCCATCTCAGGGTTCTTTTAATTATTAAGACTTTCTGGTACATTTTACCATGTACCTTCAGATCATTAACTTCTGAATAGATTGTAATGCAATTGTAGGAGTTTTGTTGCCAAATGATTATTAAATTTTATATATATTTATATATACACAAAATCTCTGAACTTTTTAAAGAAAATTAATGGAGAAAGTATATAAAAAGGATTATGACATTACCATTTTAGACCCAGCCAAATGCTACTTAACATAAGAGTAAAAGAAAGACATTATCAGAGATTTTACAATTGAAAAATATCCATGTGTATCTTTTCTGGAAAAAAACTCAAAGCTAACAATATAAAAAAATTAATAACTTGAAAATAAAATTACAAATTATTTCAACAAAATCTGAGCAGTGAGATGAATGGAAGAAATAAAACATGCTACGTTTCTCATATAGTAGTGGAGAGCTCATGATACAATTTTATTCAAGAAAGCATAATAAATATAAAATACACAAAATACAATGTTCATAAAAATTCCGAAGATAATCAAGAGTCCCAGCTATATGTAAATACGGAAAGAAAAAAATGACATTTTGCATTCATCCTGATTTTCATTTTTCTCCTCCATCTGAAGAAATCCAAGAAAATTAAGCACTCCTGACATCTAGGATTTTAAAACGTAAGTCCATTTATTGAGATAAAGTATTCAAAATAGAGAAAATTATATGATCTGTTTCCAACTCTGCATCAACCATTTTTAGCCTTAAAAATAGATGCCCTCTCCCTCCCCCCGCCCCCACTTCTTTTATATGAGCTTCTGACACAGAATTGGTGGATTTAATGGAACCACACTCTTCTCGGTCCCACATGGATGCTTGGCCTGCTGCCGAACCCCAGAGGTCGTTCCCTGAGGGAGGCCTCCCAGAGCAGGGTTTCCCCACTGTCAGTGGAGTTACTGTAATACCCTCAACACAGAACATCAACCCACCTGCCCAGGCGCTTGGCTCTGAGATTTTTAAAACAGAGTTAGTGCCGATTCAAATCATCAGCAGTTAGGGCACCAGAATGAGGTGGTCATTTCCTAAATCCTCCAACCCTATCTACCTCTGAAGTCCCTTTCCATAGATGTTTACCAGACACAAGACCTCTTGGCCATTATCATGTTTTCCCAGCATCAAACCTTTAGAGATTTACCGGCCCAAAACATTCCAAGACATGAGTACATTTGGGCGTAAATGAGCAACCAACAGACCAGGTGGTTAATATTTCCTAAGACTGCCCAGTCAATGTTGACAACTAAAACATCTGGTTTAAGCCAGGGTTCAGTTACAGCAGGAAGGAGACAGAGCATCAGGGAAGAGATTGAAGGTATAGGTTTAAGTAGGTTTATGGACCTTGAAGCTGTGATTCTAAACAGCACATTGGAGATGTTCGGGAGAGAACTCAGTGACAAATAGTGGGATTAGGGAGAAGCACAGACACAAAAGGGATAAGAGTGAAGAAGATTATTAAATTGACTTCCATCTTGGGCATGACCAAGAATAATGGAAGCCATGGTGGTTTTAGTTGGGACTACAAGATTTTTTTAAATTAATACCAAAAATATTAATTTGGGGGTTGACGAGAGACCAATAACCTTGTCTCTAAGGGCTAAGGTTCAGAGATTCAGGTAGATGCCCAGTGGTAGGCATCCGGACCTATGACTCTGTGAGTTCTCATCATAGAGCTTTTCTAACTGATAGTCTCTTGGCAAGAGATATGTAGAGAGGATTCCAGCATGGCTTGGATTAAAAACATGGTTAAACAATAGCTGTACAACTCAAATCAGCTGAGGAGCTTTTGAGAAACATATGCTGGAATCTCACCCCCACTCCCCACCCCAACCCACACACACACAGATAACTCTTCTGAATCAGTGGTACTGAGTTAGTTTCTTGGCATCCCCATTCCTACAAAGCTCCAAATTTGAGAATCTAAATTAAATACTGATATAAATGGCTATGATTTATCATCGCATGCATCCCATTTGGACCCTAAGTGGAAATTGTTACTATTCACTGTAACTCTCCATGCTGGGGATTATTGTCCCCATTTTACAGGTGAAATGGCTCAACGTAGCTAAATAACACATGCAAAGTCACACGGATAGTTATGAGATGGCCAGGAGCTGAATGAATCCATGTCTGTCCTTTCCTTCTCCTACAGCCACTGCCTCTAAGAGCTGCTCCATCTGCAAATCCTGTAGTACCCGCCCCTCTCACCTCAGCTTACGGCCCTCTGCCTTGCTCACACTCTTTCTCACCCAGGTATATCCTTTCTCCCTCCTACCTAGCAAAATATTTCCCAGTGACTCATCTGCTTTATCAATAAGAAAGGGGTCCTTTCTCCCTCTGAACTTCTGTGGCCTGTATCCTCTGGTTCATTTATTCATGCATTTATTGAGCACCTCGTAGTTGCCAGACACTATACTAGTCATTGCTGCAAAGAACAAAATGGACAAGATCACTGCCCTCATGCAACTTAGGGAGAGAATAAATAGACATAAATAAAATCAACATGATAATTACAGAGTGTGGTAAATGTTACAGAAGAGGTGAAATAATGCGATAGGGCGGGAAAGACTTTTTTAGCAGAGTGGTCAGGAATGGTGTGATGTCTCTGAGGAGGTGACATCTGAGTGAAGGACCTGAAGGATGACAATGAGCCAGTCATGTTTAGGAGCAAAGGTACAACATTTCCTTCAAATGAAATGGCCCACACAAAGACCCTGAGGTGAGAAAGCTCTTGCTGTGTTCCTGAAAGGGAAGAGCAACCTGTCTGCTAAAGCATAAGATGAAGGTGTGGAGGAAAAGCAGGACCACCTCACACAGGGCCTTGTAAGCCTTAACAAAGAACTTGGGTTTTATTTAGAAGCAGCTGAATGCCCTTGGAAGATTTTAAGCAAGGGAGTAAAAGAATCGTATACAGGTTTTTAAAAGGCCATTTGGACCATGGATGGAGAAGGGATGGGAGTAGAAGGAGAGAGATCAGTTAGGGTCTACAGCAGTGGTCCAAAAGAGAGAGGACGAGGTCTCGCGTGGACTTGAGAGGTGCTTGTGGAGACGGAAAGAGGATGCATTTGAGCTGTGTTCGGGAAGCAGAGCAGCATTCTTGGTGGTGGACTAGATGTGAGGATGCAAGAAGAGGTAGAATCAAGAATAATTATTCATCCCATTCATTCGACCTTCATTTCCTGCTTCAGGCTTTAGTGTCTTTTTATACATACATTTTGTCTTCCCAAATATACGTACAGTTTGTGAAGGATAGAATCTTATATCTTATAATCTCTTGCACCTCATAATGCCTACTTAAAATGCTATTTTACATAGTAAATAATAAATTCATTGACAGCTTGCTGCTATTTTATCACTGCTACTTTGGTATGCTAGCAGCCCCTACGGAAGAAAACAGACATCAGATTTGTCAGCATAATAAATGAGACACAAATAACATTATGTCTGTATTTGTTATACGACAGAGGTAACTCACACCCACCAAAAACCAAGTAGGTGGAAGATTAAAAAAACCCCAAGTAGGTGGAAGATAAAAAAAAAAAAAAAAAAAAAAAAAAAGACTCACGAAAACTTATCAGTCCTGTACCAAGGAATTTTGAGAAAGCTGTTCAAACCTCGATCATTTAAATCCTAACAGCATTCATTGAAATCCTACGAAACGCAGGCATTTTATTAGATATACACTATCTTACTTATTGCTCAAAGAAAACCACGCAATCAATGTAGATATATTTTTTCATGTAGTTTATAGTATGAAAATAGAGATCCTAAGAGCTTACATCCCATTCAAAAGTCACACCACTAATAAAACCAGGGTTTGCAGGACCCCAAAGTCTAGATCCATGAAATCTGGGCAGCCTCACAATGAAGGGGCCCACTCTAGGCCCTGGTGAGGGCTGCCCATAGAGGTGAGCTGATACCTTGGGAGGAAAGAGGATAGGAAGGAACATTCAAATCAGCCTGGAAGGTTCTATGACAAGTCCCTCTGCCCAATTTTGTCTCCAAGGAGCTGTCAAGAGCAAAAGAGCTGTTGGAAATAGACTTCCCCTGAAGTTGTGTGACCTCCAAGAAGCTTTCTTGGTACTGATGTTTAATCCCATAATAGAGGCATGTGGGCTGTGTCTGGCCTGGAACATAACCCTGTCACAGATAATGCCACCACCCTTAAGAGAGACAGCAGACCCTGCCACTTTAACTCAGACCAAAAAGTACCCAAGAAAGCAGGTGGCTTCTACTAAGAAATCCTAAAAACTCCAAAAGATGCTGCCATTGGTAATGAAAATATAGTTCTACATGAAAACCCCAAAGCTCTCATAATCACAAGGAACTACACCATTTAAAAACAGTTTATGTCCAAAGGAAGGGAAAATGTAAGCAGCACAAATTTTGTGCTGCATATGCATAGGAGTGTTCATTAAAGCACACATTTCTCTGGCTAATTACATTATTAAGATAACAATGTTTGGATCTGCATCAGGAATACAATCCACTAATTAGCAACATGGCTGGGAATTTTTCCTCACTATCCTATTATCTGTGATTTTTATTCAGATAATCAGCTTCAAAACAGGTCTCCCTGGGGGAAAAACGTGCTGTGCCGGTTTCAAGAACCACATTTATATTGTAACTTTATTTCATATCTTGAAGGTAAAAATGTTTATCCACACTGCCAGTTTTAATACTC